AAGTGGACAAAGGATATGAACAGATACTTTTCTTTTTTTCCTTTTTTCTTTTTTTTAAGACAGAGTTTCGCTCTTGTTACCCAGGCTGGAGTGCAATGGCGCGATCTCAGCTCACTGCAACCTCCACCTCCTGGGTTCAGGCAATTCTCCTGCCTCAGCCTCCTGAGTAGCTGGGATTACAGGCACGCGCCACCATGCCCAGCTAATTTTTTGTATTTTTAGTAGAGACGGTGTTTCACCATATTGACCAGGTTGGTCTCAATCTCTTGACCTCGTGATCCACCCGCCTTGGCCCCCCAAAGTGCTGGGATTACAGGCTTGAGCCACTGCGCCCGGCCTGAACAGATACTTTTCAAAAGAAGACATTTATGAGGCCAAGAAACATATGAAAAAATGCTTATCATCACTGGTCATTAGAGAAATGCAAATCAAAACTACATTGAGATACCGTCTCACTGGCGATCATTAAAAAATCTGGAGACAACAGATGCAAGAGAGGATGTAGAGAAATAGGAACACTTTTACCCTGTTGGTGGGAGTAGAAATTACTTCAACCATTGTGGAAGACAGTGCGGCGATTCCTCAAGGATCTAGAAATAGAAATTCCATTTGATCCAGCAATCCCATTACTGGGTATATATCCAAATGATTATAAATCATTCTATTACAAAGACATATAGACGCATATGTTCATTGCAGCACTGTTTACAATAGCAAAGACCTGGAACCAACCCTAGTGCCCATCAATGATAGACTGGACAAGGAAAATGTGGCACATATATACCACGGAATACTATGCAGCCATAAAAAAACGATGAGTTTGTGTCCTTTGTAGGGACATGGATAAATCTGGAAACCATCATTCTCAGCAAACTGATGCAAGAACACAAAATCAGACACCACATGTTCTCACTCATAGGCAGATGTTGAACAATGAGAACACATGGACACAGGGAGGGGAGCATCACAGACTGGAGTCTGTTGGGGACGACTAGGAGAGAGACAGCAGGAGGGAGGTTGAGGAGGGATAACATGGGGAGAAATGCCAGATATAGGTGACGGGGAGATGGAGGCAGCAAACCACATTGCTATGTATGTACCTATTCAACAACCCTGCATAATCTGCACATGTACCCCAGAACCTAAAGTACAAAGAAAAAAAGAAAAAGATCATACTACCAGAATGGCTAGAAATTTCCAGAACCCTGATGAAGAAACTAATGGGTTCTTGAGCTGCTAACCAAAATCAAGCAGAACAAAAATTAATTACATGGGATTGAATAAACTGATGAAGAAAAATTATGGGTTTTAACAGCATTTTTATTTGAAATATTGCAGGTTTTTTGTGTTCCAGATTTAAGACAACTCTTTCTTTTAGGCTATCTATAACTTACAGCAATTTGGCAAAGTATACTTTTGTGAACAAAAATTGAAACATTAACTTTCAGTACCTACCTGTCCCTCCAGAATTTAGAATATGCATGAAAATTCTTATTTTTATGGAAATATTGTTATTTTTATGTTACTTTCATAGTTAAGTTCAATAAGAATCTGCTCTTTTCTCAGGATAAAATTGGAAATATTAGTTATGTTTTATACTGGAATACCATATTTGACAAGTACATAGAATGAGTCTATAGGTACTGTAGACAAGGTCTGAAGTATGCTTTGGTTTGGCTTCATAACCTCAAGCGTTTGTTAATAATCCAATCTGATGGATTTTATTTCCTATCAAAAGTTCCAGCAAGGCAACCCTTAATAGAGACTATGTGGTCAATTATTATTCTTGCTGTACTTGTGTAAACAAACAGCCCAAGTTTGATGAGGCCAAACTTATTTTGCAAACAAATTAGTTTTACTCTGGTTATCTTTGGTAGAAATAGGGGTGACTGTAGAGCAGGTGTCCCCAATATCCAGTTCCCCTGTTAGGAACCAGGCCACACAGCAGGAAGTGAGCAGCAGACAAGCAAGCATTACTGCCTGATCTCCGCCTCCTGTCAATCAGCAGCTGGATTAAATTCTCATAGGAGGCCAGGTGCCATGGTTCACACCTATAATCCCAGCACTTTGGAATGCCATGGTTGATGGATCACTTGAGGTCAGGAGTTCAAGACCAACTTGGCCAACATGGTAAAAACTTGTCTTTACTAAAAATGCAAAAAATTAGCTGGTTGTGGGGGCACACACCTATAATCTCAGCGATTTAGGAGGCTGAGGCATGAGAATTGCTTGAACCTGGGAGGCAGAGGTTGCAGTGAGCCAAGATTGCACCTCTGCACTTCAGCTTGGGTGACAGAGTGAGACTCTGTCTCAAAAAAAACCACAAAAACTCATAGAAGTGGGAACCCTATTGTGAACTTCACATGCGTGGGATCTAGGTTTTGTGCTCATGGAATCTAATGCCTGATGATCTGAAGTAGAACAGTTTACAGTTTCATTCAGAAACTATCCCCTCCATCCCCACCCTGGTCTATGGAAAAATTGGGACCACTGCTATTGAGAGAAAAACTATGTTTCTGAGAAAAGCTAGAGTATACCTGTTATTTGATTATACCCCTGTTCATTGTTCTCAAGTTTTTATTATCTACCTGTAGACTAGACTAGATTCTGAATTCTTCTAGTGTCCTTCAATATCTGGCTACAACTCTCTAACTAAAATAAGAACTACATCAACGAATGGATAAAATAGCCAGTTAACATCAAATGGCAGTAATCCTAAATTTAAGTTGACTATATCCCCTAATCAAAAGATACAGCCAAAACCTGACGGTATGCTACATCCAGATCACTACATCACTTCACATCCAAAGATACACAAAGACTTAAAACAAAGTGATGGAGAAAGATTTACCAATCAAATGAAGAGCAAAAATAAATAAATAAATAAAAAGCAGGAGTTGCAATTCTTGCATCTGATAAAATAGATTTCAAAGCAACAAAGATATAGTGGTAAAAGGATCAATGCAACAATAAGAGCTAACGATCCTAACACCCAGATGCATAAGACTCATAAAGAGATTTAGACTCAGCGAGACAGAAAATTAATAAGGATATCCAGGACTTGAACTCAGATCTGGAACAAGTAAACTCAATAAATATTTATAGAGCTCTCCACTTTAAATACACAAAATATACATTCCCCACCTTAAATATACAAAATATTGATCAGCCATTATTAATACCCATTTTTAGAATAAAGCTACATTCCCGTTCTCTCTCCCTCTTTTTCTTCCTCTTCTTCACTTCTTTTTTTTTTTTTTTTAAAAAAAAAAAAGAACTACTACCAGGCACAGTAGCTCATGCCAGTAATTCCTGCACTTTTGGAGGCCAAGGCAGGCAGATCACAATGTCAGGAGTTCCAGACCAGCCTGGTCAACATGGCAAAACCCCATCTCTACTAAAAAAACAAAAAACAAAAACAACAACAACAAAAATAATGAATCTATTCCTGAAACCCTATAAGCTGAAAATGCACAACTCAATGTTAATTTCAAAGGACAAGTCTCATTATTGATGTGTGGGCCACATGGAGATTTCCCTAAAATGCCTGATGCCATAACCAGAGACAATCAAACCGCAAGTCAAGATGAGAAGTTGGGCCAGGCATGGTGGCTACACCTGTAGTCTCAGAACTCTAGGAGGCTAAGACAGGCAAATCACTTGAGTTCAGGAGTTTGAGACCAGCCTGGCCAACATGGTGAAATCCCATCTCTACCAAAACTACAAAAAAATTTGCGAGGCATGGTGGCGCATACCTGTAGTCCCAACTACTCAGAAGGCTGAGGCAGGAGAATTGCTTGAACCCCAGAGGTAGAGTTGCAGTGAGCTGAGATCGTGCCACTGCACTTCAGCCTGGGCAACAGAGCAAGACTCCACCTCAAAAAAAAAAGATGGGAAATTGATGACTTCATGTTGTAGACAGCCTTTTCTATGATAGTGGAACAAGACTCTCTATTATAATGAGACTCTTATCCCTCTCATTTTTTCCTTGTTTATGCCTACCGTTTTGGCTTGACAGAATAATGCTATAGATAGAATTTCATAATCAGTAGCTTCTGCAGGTAAGTTGGTAAAATGTTGAATCTGGGGCTGGGCATGGTGGCTGACACTTATAATCCCAGCACTTTGGGAGACGGAAGTAGGTGGGTGGATCACTTGAGGTCAGGAGTTAAGAGACCAGCATGGACCAACATGGTGAAATACTGTCTCTACTAAAAATACAAAAATTAGCTAGGCATGGTGACACGTGTCTGTAATCCCTGCTCAGGAGGCTGAGGCAGGAGAATCACTTGAACCTCGGAGGTGGAGGTGGCAGTACGCTGAGATCAAGCCACTGCACTCCAGCCTGGATGAGAGAAAGAGACTCTCTCAAAAAAAAAAAAAAGTTGAACCTGTCCCACCAAACTAAATCTGTACATGATCTAAGGAATCCTGTAGTCCACCCAGTGGGTAACTTTAGCAACATCCCTGATGCAACTATTGTTCAAATTGTACTCTTGGTCTGTTTTATAAAGTAAAACTTCTAGTGCTCAGCTTCAGCAGCACGTATACTAAGAAAATTGGAACGATGCAGAGAAGGTTGGCATGGCCCCTGTACAAGGATGACATGCAAATTTGTGAAATATTCCATGTTAAAAAAAGTCTTCCATATCCACTTGTTCTCACTTCCTGCCTTAATTTATCTTAGTCATGGGATGCTAGATTACCTACTAGCTGAACAGAAAGGAGTCTATGTAGTTGCTGACACTTCTTGTTGCACACAGGTAAATATATCAGGTATTGTAGAGACTCGGTTATTAAAAATTAACACCTACTTGGTTAAAACAGGTAGACTCTTCATCTGGCTCATTTTTAGATCTGTTTGATTTTAGTTGCTTTAGTTCATGGGGACTCTGGGTAAGAAGCATTTTCCAAATTCTTGGTATTATCCTCTTGATGGTCACAATCAGGAGGATGATGATAAGTCTTCCTGGTACACAGTAGCCTCTCAAAAGGTCTTTTTTTTTTTTTTTTTTTTTTTTTTGAGACAGAGTTTCACTCTTGTTGCCCAGGCTGGAGTGCAATGGCGATATCTTGGCTCACTGCAACCTATGCCTCCTCCTGCCTCAGCCTCCTGAGTAGCTGGGGTTACAGGCATGCACCACCATGCTCAGCTAACTTTGTATTTTTAGTAGAGATGGGGTTTCTTCATGTTGGTCAGGCTGGTCTCAAACTCCCCGCCTCAGGTGATCCACTGGCCTCAGTCTCCGAAAATGGTGGGATTGCAGGCATGAGCCACTGCGCCTAGCCAAAAAAGTTGTTTTATCTTGCATGATGAAGTCCCCTTTGCCTTAACCTTTAGAGGGAAAGTAGCTTTGAAATGACCAATCTGCTTTTTGTTCTGTTTCTGCTTTCCTCAGACCTTTTTCTTTTTTTTTTTTTGAGGCGGAGTCTCACTCTGTCACTCAGGCTGGAGTGCAGTGCCACAATCTTGGCTCACTGCAGCCTCCACTTCCTGATTCAAGTGATTCTGCTGCTTCAGCTTTTCAAGTAGCTGGGATTACAGAGACATGCCACCACACCCAGCTAGTTTTTTCATTTTTAGTAAAGATGGGGTTTCATCATGTTGGCCAGGCTGATCTCGAACTTCTGACTCAAGTGATCCACCCTCCCTGGCCTCCCAAAGTGCTGGGGATACAGGCATGAGCCACCACACCCGGCCCCTTCAGCTTATTTCTCTCTATAAAACCAAACTCCTTTGCTCAGCTCATTGGAGCAAAAAAGTTTGGTTTTATAGAATGAATCACAAACACACACACAAAAACAATTAAGATCTTTAAATTTGTTGTACTTTTCACTTTTTAAAGAAGTAACACGGCCGGGCGCGGTGGCTCAAGCCTGTAATCCCAGCACTTTGGGAGGCTGAGGTGGGCGGATCATGAGGTCAAGAGATTGAGACCAACCTGGTCAATATGGTGAAACCCCGTCTCTACTAAAAATACAAAAAATTAGCTGGGCGTGGTGGCGTGTGCCTGTAATCCCAGCTACTCAGGAGGCTGAGGCAGGAGAATTGCCTGAACCCAGGAGGCGGAGGTTGCAGTGAGCCGAGATCGCGCCATTGCAATCCAGCCTGGGTAACAAGAGCGAAACTTCGTCTCAAAAAAAAAAAAAAAAAAAAAAAAGATATTAAAACAAAAAGCTTTAATTTTTACTCAGAGGAGTTTACATAGAGTATAAAGGAGAAAAGAAACTAACTTTGAACAATTATTCATTTATCTAACAAACATTTATTAAGTGCTTTCTGTGTTCCAGGCACTGTGCTGTGCCCTATGAATTCAAGGATATAATGTTTTGACATTAAATGTCGAAGTATTGTTTAAATACAGGCATACCTCATTTTATTTTGTGTCACTCCTTCAGTAAAAATTAATGTGTGTTCTGACTGCTCCTTTGGCCACTTCTCTGTCGCCCTCTCCTCAAGCCTCCTTATTTCCTACAATACAGTGATATTGAAATTAGGCCAGTGGTCTCTAAGTGTTCAAATGAAAGGAAGAATCATACATCTCTTACTTTAAAGCAAAAGCTAGAAATAATTAAGCTTAATGAGGAAGGGGGCATGTCAAAAGCTGAGACAGGCTGAAAGCTAAGCCTCTTGCATCAGTTAGCCAAGTTATGAATACAAAGGTAAAGTTCTTGAAGAAAATTAGACGTGATACTCCAGGCTGAGCATAGTGGCTCACGCCTGTAATTCTAGCACTTTGGGAAGCCAAGGAGGGTGGATCACGAAGTCAGGAGTTCAAGACCAGCCTCGCCAACATGATGAAACCCCATCTCTACTAAAAATACCAAAAAAAAAAAAAAAAAAAAATGGGCATATTGGCAAGCACCTGTAATTCCTGCTACTTGGTAGGTTGAGACAGGAGAATTGCATGAACCTGGGAGGCAGAGGTTGCATTGACCTGAGATCGTGCCACTGCACTCCAGTCACAACAAGACTGAAACTCCATCTCAAAAGAAAAAAGAAGGGTTATCCAGTAAACATACGAATGATTTAAAAAAAAAAAAAGCAAAACAGCTTTATTGTTGATATGGGGAAAGTTTGAGTGGGCTGGATAGAAGAACAAACCAGTTACAACATTCCCTTAAGCCAAAGCCTAATCCAGAGGAAGGCCCTAACTCTCTTCAATTCTATAAAGGCTAAGAGAGATTGGAAAGCTGCAGAGGAAAAGTTTGAAGCTAGGCACAGTTTGGTTCATGAGGCTTAAGGAAGGAAGCTGTCTCCATCATGTGAAAGTGCAAGGTTAAGCAGCAAGTGCTGATGGGAAGCTGTAGCAAGTTATCCAGAAGATTTAACATAATCAATGAAGATGAACCCACTAAACAGATTTTCACTGTAGATGAAACAGTCTTATATGGGAAGCAGATAACATCAGGACTTTCATTGCTAGAAATGAGAAGTTACTGCCTGACTTCAAAGCTTCCAAGGGCATGCTGACTCTCTTGTTAGGGGCTAATGCAGCTGGTCATTTTAAGTTGAAGCCAATGTTTAATTACCATTCTGAAAATCCTAGGGCTGTGAAGAATTATGTTAAATGTATTCTGCCTGTGCTCTATAAATTGAGCTGCAAAGATTGAATGACAGCACATCTGTTTATAGCATGGCTTACTGAATATTTTAAGCCCACTGTTGAAATCTGTTGCTCAGGAAAAAAATTTTCTTTCCAAATGTTACTGCTCCTTAACAATTCACCTGGTTACCCAACAGCTCTAATGGAGATGTACAAGGAGATGAATGTTGTTTTCATGCCTGCTAACACAATACTTATTCTACAGCTCATGGATCAAGGAGTAATTTAGATTTTCAAGTCTTAGTATTTAAGAAATACATCTTAAATACTATAAACAGTGATTCCTCTGATGGATCTGTGCAAAGTACATTAAAAACCTTCCGGAAAGGATCCACAATCTAGGTGCCTTTAGCAACATTTGTGATTCATGGGAGGAGGTCAAAATATCAATATTAGCAGGAATTTGGAAGAAGTTGATTCCAAACCTTTATGGAAAATTTTGAAGGGATTAAGTCTTTAGTGAAGCAAGTAACTGCAAAGATGGTGGAAACAGCAAGAGAACTAGAATTAGAAGTGGAGCCTGAAGATGTGAATGAATTGCTGCAACCTCATGATCAAACTTGAATGGGTGAGTAGTTTCTTAAAGATGAGCAAAGAGTGGTTTTTGGAGGATTCTATTTCAATAAACTACAGCCTCTGGTGAAGATGCTGTGAACATTGTTGAAATGACAATAAAGGATTTCGATTGTTACATATACAAATAAATAAACAGAAAAAATGGAATATTACATAAACTCAGTTGAAAAAGCAGTGGTAGAGTTTGAAAGGATTGACTCCAATTTTGAAAGAAATTCCCTGGTATGTAAAATGCTATCAAACAGCATGGCATAAAGGACAGATATTTCATGAATGAAAAAGAATCAATGTAGCTGACTTCATTGTTGCCCTATCTTAAGAAATTGTCACACCCCAACCTTCAGTAACCACCATTCTGATCAGTCAGCAGCCATGAACCTCAAGACAAGACCCTACCAGCAAAAAAGATTATGACTCACTGAAGGGTCAGGTAATTGTTAGCATTTCTTAGCAATAAACTATTTTTTAATGAAGGTACTTTTTTATACATATGCTATTGTACACTTAATAAGCCACAGTATAGTATAAACATAACTTTAATATGTGCTGGGAAACAAAAAATGTGTGTAGCTCACTTTATTGTGATATTCACTTTATTGCAATATTCACTTTAATGCAGTGGTCTGGAACCAAACCTGCAGTGTCTTCATCGTATGCCTATATAGGTATGTCTAGATTTAACTTATGAAACACCAGGTTTTAAAAATTGTGTTATTGTTTGGGCATGGTGGCTCATACCTGTAATTCCAGCACTTTAGGAAGCTGAGGTGGGCGGATCACCTGAGGTCAGGAATTTGAGACCAGCCTGACCAACATGGTGAAACCCCATCTCTTCTAAAAATACAAAATTAGCCGGGCATGGTGGCAGGTGCCTGTAATCCCAGCTACTTGGGAGACTGAGGTGGGATTACACCTGTAATCCCAGCACTTTGGGAGAATTGCTTGAACCTGGGAGGCGGAGATTACAGTGAACTGAGATCACACCATTGCACTCCAGTCTGGGCAACAAGAGCAAAACTCCATCTAAAAAAAAAAAATTGTGGGCCCTGACAGAGTCTCCTGTCAAGGATCACAGGGACGCTAAGATTGCTATGTGGACCTTCGCTGACCATGCCATCCTGGGTGGTACTTTCTGCTGCTGCCACAGTGGCCCACTCTCTGAAGAATGCAGCCTTCCTAGGTCCAGGGGTATTGCAATCAACAAGGACCTTTCACATAGGGCAGCCACACCTTGCCCCCGTCCTGAATATGGAGGAAAAGTTAATCATGGACTGATTCCTGAGGAATTCTTCCAATATCTTTAACCTAAAACTGGTGTAACAGGACCCTATGTGCTTGGAACTGGCTTATCTTGAATGCTTTATCCAAAGAAATATATGTGATTACCAAAGAGACCTTCACTACCCTATCAGTAGTAGGTTTATTTATCTATGGAGTTAAAAAAAATAAGGTCATTCCATTGCAGAATTTGCTGATAAACTCAATGAGCAAAAACTTGCCCAACTAGAAAAGGTGAAGCAGGCTTTCATCAAAGAAATCTAGGATGCAGTTGATTGTAGAAGGCACAGCATGCACTGGTTCAGAAGCACCATTACCTTTTTGATGTGCAGAGGCATAACACTGCCATAGCTTTGGAGGTTGCTTACTGGGAACGACTGCATAGAGTATATAAAAAAGTAAAGAATTGCTTGGACTATCATATATCTGTGCAGAACATGATGCGTTGAAAGAAACAAGAGCACATGATAAATTGGGTGGAGAAGCATGTGGTGCAGAGCATCTCTGCACAGCAGGAAAAGGAGACAATTGCCAAGTGCATTGCTAACCTAAAGGCTGGCAAAGAAGGCTCAAGCACAGCCAGTTATGTAAATGTACCTATTCCAATTGAGACAGCTAGAAGCAGTTGACTGACTAAATGGAAATTCGTCTATTTGACAAAATTTTTCTGTATTGGTGTCTACTGAAGTTATGGTTTACCTCTCCTAAAAGTGAAAAGTTTGTTTTAAATAGTGAGAGAACAAAATCTCTATTGCTCAGTCAGATAGTTCTCATCTTTCTTACTCTGCATTTGAGTTGTTCCATGATCGCTTCTGTATAAGCAGTTTGCCTTTATAAAAACTTGCTGCCTGACTAAAGATTACCAGGCTATAGTTTAAATTTGTAATTAATTCTACCATCTTGCAATAAAGTGACAACTGAATGGAAAAAGTTGTGTTCTTATTATTTTTACCTTATTTATTTTTGAGACAGTCTTACTCTTTCACCTAGGCTGGAGTACAGTGGCTCAGTCTTGGCTCACTGCAACCTCCGCCTCCCAGGTTCAAGCGATTCTTATGCCTCAGCCTCCCTAGTAGCTGAAATTACAGGTGCACGCCACCATGCCCAGCTAACTTTTGTATTTTTAGTGGAGACGGGGTTTCACCATGTTAGCCACGTTGGTCTCAAACTCCTGACCTCGTGATCTGCCCACCTCGGCCTCCCAAAGTGCTGGGATTACAGGCCTGAGCCACTGTGCCTGGCTGGTGTTATTATTGTTTTAAGCCCAGATAGCCATACTTAGCCTTCTTTAGTGCTAGTTATTTAATTATTACGGAAGTGAAAAGGCTCTCTTGGACAAAAGACTTACATTGAGAGACTATTTTTGACTATGATGGAGATGAAGAGAAGAGTAAAGATTTGTGAGATTTTTTTTTCAGAGGTAGAATCAACAGGACTTAGGGCTTGATTGAAGGGGTTCAATTGTTTGTTTCTTATTGTTTTACTCTTCTTTGGAGTTGGGTGAAGTGGATGGGGATTACTTTTCATTTCCAGGAAGTTTAGAACAAACATAGATATGGAAGCAAACCAACCCCATTTGTGTTAAATTCAATTTGTGTTAAACCAAAGAAGTCTGCCCTAGAATTATTGATTTGAGAGTTGTCAGTATAAATGAAGTTGTTGGTTTAGACGAGATTTCCTAAGATCAAGTTTAGAGTAAGAAGAGAAAAAGGCCTGGAAACCAGAACTGAGGTACTCAAGCATTTAATGCCCTGGGGAGGGCCAGGCATGGTCGCTCACACCTGTAATCCCAGCACTTTAGGAGGCTGAGGCAGGTGGATTTCTTGAGCCCAGGAGTTCGAGACCAATCTGGACAACATGGTGAAACTCTGTCTCTACAAAAAATACAAAAATTAGCCAAGTGACAGCATATGCCTGTGGTCTCAGCTACTTGGAAGGCTGAGGTGGGAGGATCACCTGAGCCCAGGAGGTGAAGGTTGCAGTGAGCCAAGATCATGCCACTGCACTCCAGCCTGGGCAACAGAGTGAGACCTTGCCCAGTAATTATTATTACTAAAATAGTAATAATAATAATTAAGGCCAGGCATATTGGCTCACACCTGTAATCCTTTGGGAGGCTGAGGTGGGCAGATTACCTGAGAACAGGAGTTCGAGACCAGCCTGGAAAACATGGCCAAACCCCATCCCTACTAAAAATACAAAAAAATAGCCAGGCATGGTTGCGGATGCCTGTAATCCGAGCTACTTGGGAGGCTGAGGCAGGGGAATTATTTGAACTTAGGAGGCGGAGGCTGCAAAGAGCTGAGATCGCACCATTGCACTCCAGCCTGAACAACAAGAGCAAAACTCCATCTTAAACAATCAAACAAACAAAACTAGAAATAATAGTGCCCTGTGGAGGACATTATTTTTGGATCAGATAGCAGAAACCAGAATAAAGCAGAGGTGAGGAAATGGAGATGGAAGTGCAAACAAATAAAAATTTGATTTTGTAAATGCAGAAAGGGATAAGGCGTAAAAAAATATAGGTCAAATGTGGATTTTGTATTACTTTGTTTGGATTAGTTTGGATTAAGTTTGGTGAGCTGAGAGCATGTTGAAGTGACGTTGAGAAGGGTTCAGTTGATGAGAAATAAGTAATGAGGAGAAATAGGCATAATTGATGTGTGGTTTCCCAGAAGGGTGGAAAAGGACAGGCATCAAAACTCAGTTCCAGAGTTTGGCTTTAAATAGGAGAGAACTCCTCCACCTTCTCTATAATAAATTAACCCTAAAACATGTTCTTTACTATAGTACTATATACAGAGTACCACTGACAGGTTGTCAGCCTTCTTCTCTGATAGTTTCTGAGGTACAGCTAGTCTAAATTGGTAGAAACACTCTAGATTTAGGGGACTGTAAAGAGAAGGAAGGAAAGAAACAATCACCTCCCATCTTTAGGAAAGAATGTTCAGAAGGAGCCCTCAGTGCTCTAAAAGCACATTATCATGAGCTAGAAGAGGAGCTGGAAGGGGATAATTGTTCTCATTAGTAATAAATAAATAGGGAACTTATTTTGTTGTCCATGCCCTTTAATTCTTAGAGATGAACATACTTTTCTTCTGATATGCAACAAAGCAGAGTTCATCTGAAAGGGTCCCACCCCACAGCCTGCTTTGCATTTGAAAGAAATGAAAAATCATGAACCCATAGATGTCATTTCATTCTTTTATCTGACAAGAAAACAGATCCACTTAGAGCCACAAATTCAAAATTTGTCTTTTGCTGCAGTGTTGTGTTTCTTAGGTTAGGTTTGTCAGTTACCCTATATTCACAATTAGCAAGTTCATGCCAACCAATTTTCATCTCTCTCCCATTGATTGTATTTGGAAAACTTCTATGACAGAATAAAATGTACCTATTTATGATGGACACATGACAGATGACTATAGCTCTAAATACTGCAACTTTTTCATTTGTTAAAATTAGCTTGTTAAAATAGGTCTCTGGGAGAGTAAGCTGATTAGTTATTGAAATGAAATGTCTGTCAAGAAATAGTAACTTCAATAAAAATGAAAAGATTAGTGCTCGTTTCGGCAGCACATATACTAAAATTGGAACGATACAGAGAAGATTAGCATGGCCCCTGCGCAAGGATGACATGCAAATTTGTGAAGCGTTCCATATGTTTTTTCAAACTATACTACAAGGCTACAGTAATCAAAACAGCATGGTACTGGTACCAAAACAGAGATATAGACCAATGGAACAAAACAGAGGCACCGGAGGCAACACAACATATCTACAACTATACAATCTTTGATAAACCTGACAAAAACAAGCAATGGGGAAAGGATTCCCTGTTTAACAAATGGTGTTGGGAAAACTGGCTAGCCATGTGCAGAAAGCAGAAACTGGACCCCTTCCTGACACCTTACACTAAAATTAACTCCAGATGGATTAAAGATTTAAACATAAGACCTGGCACGATAAAAACCCTAGAAGGAAATCTAGGCAAAACTATCCAGGACATAGGAGTAGGCAAGGACTTCATGAACAAAACACCAAAAGTATTGGCAACAAAAGCCAAAATAGACAAATGTGACCTAATGAAACTCCACAGCTTCTGCACAGCAAAAGAAACAGTCACTAGAGTGGATCAGCAACGAACAGAATGGGAAAAAATGTTTGCAGTTTACCTATCTGACAAAGGGCTGATATCCAGAATTTACAAAGAACTCAAACAGATTTACAGGAAAAAAACAAACAAGCCCATTCAAAAGTGGGAGAAGGATATGAACAGACACTTTATGAAAGAAGACATATATGAGGCCAACAATCATATGAAAAAATGCTCATCGTCACTGGTCATCAGAGAGATGCAAATCAAAACCACATTGAGATACCATCTCACGCCATTAGAATGGCGATCATTAAAAAATCTGGAGACAACAGATGCTGGAGAGGATGTGGAGAAAAAGGAACACTTTTACACTGTTGGTGGGAGTGTAAATTAATTCAACCATTGTGGAAGACAGTGTGGCGATTCCTCAAGGCCTTAGAAATAGAAATTCCATTTGACCCAGCAATCCCATTACTGGGTATATATCCAAAAGACTATAAATCATTCTACTATAAGGACACATGTACACGAATGTTCATTGCAGCACTGTTTACAATAGCAAAGACCTGGAATCAACCCAAATGCCCACTGATAATAGACTGGATTGGAAAAATGTGGCACATATACACCATGGAATATTATGCAGCAATCAGAAATGATGAGTTTGTGTCGTTTGTAGGGACATGGATGAATCTGGAGAACATCATCCTCAGCAAACTGACACAAGAACAGAAATTGAAACACCGCATATTCTCACTCATAGGCGGGTAATGGAAAATGAGAACACATGGACACAGAAAGGGGAGTACTAAACACTGGGGTCTATAGGGGGGAAAAGGGGAGGGCCAGTGGGAGGGGGAGGTGGGGAGGGATAGCCTGGGGAGAAATGCCAAACGTGGGTGAAGGAAAAAAGGAAAGCAAAGCACACTGCCATGTGTGTACCTACGCAACTGTCTTGCATGCTCTGCTCATATACCCCAAAACCTAAAATCCAATAAAAAATTTAAAAAAAAAATGAAAAGATTATTTTATATTAATAGCACATTTTTGCCCCCATGGCAAATGTTTAAAATGAACAAGACTGGCTTGGCGTGGTGGCTCACGCCTGTAATTCCAGCACTTTGGGAGGCTGTGGCGGGCAGATCACGAGGTCAGGAGATAGACACCAGCCTGGCCAACATGGTGAAACCCCATCTCTACTAAAATAAACAAAAATTAGCTGGATGTGGTGGCGCACACCTGTAGTCCCAGCTACTCGGGAGGCTGAGGCAGGAGAATTGCCTGAACCCAGGAGGCAGAGGTTGCAGTGAGCCGAGATTGTGCCACTGCACTCCAGCCCGGTGACAGAGCGAGACTCTGTCTCAAAATAATAAATAAATAAATAAAACAAGACTGGAAATGTGAACAGCGTTCCTGAGGGAGTTCTCAGAATACAATGTCAACATGATTATGATAAGGAATTGATTTACTTCAGGTAGATCAGGCAGTCACAAAACAGAATTTTCTACGAATGCTTAGTCGGTACTCCTATGTGACTAAGTGTTCACACTGAGGACATTTAGAAAGTGGAGCAATAGGCTGTGGCATCTTCTGGCCATACTTACAAAGATAAGGTGGTAGCCTTTTGTGTTTGTTGTTGTTGTTTACTATCCAGATACTGAGAAGTAGTGGCACCAACTAGTTTTTCCTCAGATGGCAAAAGATAGAGTATAACCAGAGCACAAGGTCCAGAGCATCAACTGACACACACAGATACAAAATATCCCTGAGCTCTTTGGTAATAGGCATCATTCTGAATAATCACCTCTTTTTTTTTTTGAGA